CCTATATCTAGGATAATCTTGTATTAAATGACCTTATTAATAGAAAAAGAAGCATGTTTGTATCCCCCTAAAGCATATACCCAAATGGGTTTTATCACATACTTTACAAATTGAATGTCCTCTTTTAAAACCCCGATGGACTAAGTGAGATGACTCTTTACTCATACTCATTTATGAACCACTATGGCTACTTTGTCTAGAATATCTCCTTTGTGAGCTAAAGTAACTCGCCATATTCACATCTCGACTAAATCCATTACTACGGCCTTTATACCCAATAGATGCTCGAGGCATCACTCTTGGCCTTCTTCTTTTCGTTTTTAATTGCCTTACTCTTTATTCTCTTTATCTCGAGCTTACGAGCAAAATCAATAACTTTAGAATAACTTTGAAACTTTTAAGGAAGCACCACTCGTGAAAAGTAGATATACTAGCCTATTCATAAATCTTTTCATCCCTTTTGCTTTAGTCAATATTATTTTTAAAGCATATTAACTTAGCTTAGTAAACCTTCTCTTAAACTCTGTCATCGTCATATTAGAAGTTTATGCTAACCTTTCAAATTCCTTAGCCCTTTCTTTCCTAATACTCTTTGATAATTGCTCATCCAAGAAATCTTTCTCAAACTATCCCTAAGACCAATCATGTTTCTTGTCCCGTTTACATCATTCAATGGCACTTCCTTCAAGCATAAATGCTACTAATTCAATTTTTCTCTCCTCATAACATCGACACACAACCAACCTCTTCTCTATCTCATTAATGAAGTGCATTGGGTCTTCATCATCCTTATCACCCAAATAAGTTGGTGGTTTCAACTTCAAAAACTTTATCACATATAGGTCAAATCCCACTAATCCTGTTCGAGTTTCGACTACAAAAGTACCTACTTCACCCAATTCTTGATTGGTAGACATCAATCCAGCCATAGATCGAAAAGTTTGATGAATACCCTTAGCCATCATCTTTGCGAGTGTGCCGCATAGTATGAAACCTAGCCATGATGTCGGTTAACGTCATCATGTAAGGGTTTTCTTCTTCACTAATGCTAGACCATCCATGAGACTATAAAGGTTTGGATGATGCCTCGGCCTTGACACCTCCTCTATGATCACCGACCTAGTCCTTAACATAATAACCTATGTGGGGAAAAATTCAAATTTATTGCATTTCAAAAAGGCAATTAGTCAATGCATAATTCATAGAATCTTTATTTTCTCTTTCATTAGGCTTGCTTATACTTAAGAATAAGATAAAAAAAATTTTTAGGTTTTTAAGAAGAAAATAACCGATCAAAATAAGTAAACTAAAGCCGAAGCATATATAAATCCAAGATCATAAAGAACAAATGAAATAAATATGAAAAATTAAGTTGAAAGAGAGAAACACATGAGCATAAGGGAGTACACACGGCGTGAAGAACAAAGTGACATATCCATGCATGTTTTAGCTTAAAAAGTCATATGGGTAGAAGGTGATAGACACGACTTATACAAAAAAGTGACACGTCTTTGCGTGTTCGACATAAGAAGAGAGACAAGCAAAAAGGTTCAAGCATGGTTTGTTTAAAAAATTAATATAGCCATGCATGTCTTAACATAAAGAGAGACACGGGCAAAAAGAATCCAAAATAGTTTGTAGAGTAAATTCAACACTTTTGTGCTTGTTCTAGCATAAAGGGAGACATGAGCGAAAAGATTAAATATGGTTTTACTTTGAAAAATCAACATATCTATATGTAATAAATAAAATTGCAACCTAACAAAGAGAGGAAAGCCACACAGGTAGAAACAATCAACACGACTTGAAAGCAAAAGTGACACAAACATGTGTCACTATAAAATTATTTTAAAGAAGAAAAAAATACCGCACGAGCGAGTAGCTAAAGGACACGGTTTATAGGGAAAATTAACACATCCATGTCTTAATTTAAGCAAGCCATGTGAGGAATTTTTACACGATAAAAACCTATTTTTCATATGCAATACTAGACTCGTGAACTTGGAGACTAAGGCACACACTAACAGATTGATCTATGTGATTTAAGGCAAATACATAAATTAGGAAAGAACCTATGCTTTATAGTTATCCCAGTCTCTAAAACATATACTCTAATACCAATACATGTCACGACCCCAAGAGTGGGTCATGATCGATACAAAGACTAAGGAAACCATGAGGTCCACCTCAACCTAAGCAAGTCTCGGATACTAACCAAAATCCTTAATCATCAATATCACTTAAGTAGCATTTCAATTAACATTATCATAACCTAATAAGCATTTCTTACCATTCAATGCAATTTATACTTCAATATTATTCTCATTTCAATATCCAAAATTAATATTCATAATTAATATCTAATATAAAACCCACAACTATAACTGCTAAGCTTTTAAGATTATAATTTAAAATAAACATAAGTTTTAAGGAATTAAAATTAAGGTAAGTCGCATGACCAAAGGGTCGAGTTCATGAAAAGTAGCCAAAAGAAAATAATGAGCGATCCCTCAATATTCCGCAAGACTAAAATAATGAGGGATGAGCAATCAATAACTCGGTGAGTAGGTATTATATAACATACTAAAGGAGAAAATGGACTAAGGATAATACTTTTAAATTCATCTCAAAATGCAATGCTTATTTCTTCGAAGCACATGCATATCATAAAACACTTCATACATCACAAATCAAATGGTTTAAAACCATTTCATATCAAATCATTGAAGCACTTATCATACATATATCGTATTCATATGAAAACTCATATATGGGTTTTTATACACCCGTTAGGTAATAATGTATCATTGGGTGTGAACACCCATAGGTCATATCCCCTGTGAATAGGGTTTCACATATTGGTCGATACACAAACTACCACTCTACCTCTTATACTAGTTAGAGACTCGTATCATTGAGCTTAAAGGCTACCCCTCGGGAACTAGGTTCCTAGGGTCTCAAAAATATTTTCGAAAACCAAACATATTTATACATTTTCAAATCGATATTTCAAATACCATGCATGTATTTTAAAAAATTATACGAATACTTAAAATAACAAACACAACACGTTCACTCAAGTCCGAAATCACATATTAGTTTTGATAACACATTTATCTAACACATTCAAATCTCTTTTGAATTTATATCAAATCATTTTGATACAAAAAAATTTCAAATCTATGGTGTTTGTTTCCATCTAAATTCTAACATAATGCTTATAAATCATGCTTAAATCAATGATTCATGATAGACATGATTTTAAGGAATTAAAACACAATACATTATATAATATCCACTCATAGTATAAATGGAGAATCGAACAAAGTCAAGATGGATTAAACGTATCAAGATTGTATTAAAACACAATACACTATATAATATACATTACGCTACTCTCATTTAAAAATCATATAAATAATCAATCGTATGAATTATAATAATATATTTTAAAAAATAAAAAAATCACGTTCTTAAATTTTATTTCAAAATCAATATATAAAAAAATAAATTTATTAACAAATAAAATTATATAAAAATAAAAAAATTAATTTGATGAGAATTTTAATAAGAAATAAATAATTAAAGAAATAAATTTTAAATAATAAAAATAATATATATATATATATTCAAACTAAAATCTTAAAAAATATCATTTATATTCTATTACTCGTCAAATTATACGTAAAACTAAAAATAAAAAAACAAAGATTTTTTTTATATATTTTCACACCTAATTTCATGATAAAAAATATAAAAATAAATTATTGAATGAAAAAAAAAAAAAAGGCAAACGAGACTCGCTTGTGTAGGCTCGTGAGCCAAGGCAAGCTTGCCTAAGGTCGTTGCCGAGCCCAGCTGAGCTCGCTTCACTGTGGTCGGGTACTGGCCAGCCCTTAACAAAACAAGAAAAAAAAATGCTACAACAAATAAACGAGTAAAAAGCTAAGATCTTTTAGTTTTTTTAGTAACAAGGACACTAATAATACCACTTGAACAATAACAATTTGACATGTTATAACAATGACATTTAATTAAAAAAATTGAAAGTACAGGTATTGAAATAAATAAAAAAAAGCAGAGTCATATATATATATATATATACTTAAAAAAAATAGAAGTAAAGACATTTATTAAAAAATTTGCAAAAGTATAGATATTGAACTTTTAATTGGAAAAGTATGCAAAAGAGAGACTTTTTTTTTTTCGGTTTTCATAACAATGGTTGTTTTTTAATTATTTGCGTAAATAATATTTTCCAACACACACATATATATATAAAAACTTTTATAGTTTCCAAGGCATTAAGTCATTAAAATTTTATGGGGTCCCTGGCTATATGGGAAGAACTGAAGAAGTGCCTTTTTTGGAAATTAAAAATAATAATAATAATAAAATACCTTATATTGATAAAAGAAAAGGATTTTAAAGTACCCTAATTTGTGAAAAAAAAAAAAAAAAATCCCTACGTTCGACAGCCATTCTTAAACTTTCTTACCATGCATCAAAAGAGTGATATGTGCTCAGTCAGCCTGGCTTACAAGTTATACAACCCAACAAGGCCTAACAAAAAGAAAAGACATACATATATCACAAATAAAAGGAAAAAAATTGCAGAATAATACAGCATAAAAAATATTAAATAGGTCGGCTTTGGAACTTAGCCAGGTTGATATGTCAAGCAACTAACATGAAACCGATTTAGTTCCAGCCCACCTGTCCTCTTCACCCACTTGCCACCTTTCCTTCACTCTCATAAAATAAATACATAAACAATACCAGCATCGTTTTTATTTTTTACTCCCTCCCAAAACATATACTACTACTATTATTTCTTATAATAATAATAATAATAAAAGATATGGAATTTCGCACTTTACCCTCACCCGTTAATCAAAACCCCCTCGTCCCATATATCTCTCAAAAACAAAAACCCCACTTATCATTTCTTTCCGTCTTTCAACGACTTGGAAATCTGCCTGTCCCAAAAATCAATAGACATGACTGACCCAGAGCAACAAGAACCAATAACCTACACTACCCACCACCTCTCGATCCCATCTGGTTTAAACCACTCCGAATTCGACGACTTAAACCCCCTCATAAGTGAGTTCCATGCCTATAGAATCAGCCCAGGCCAATGCTCTTCTCTCCTAGCCCAACGTATAAGCGCACCAAACAACATCGTTTGGTCAATTGTTCGCCGTTTCGACAAGCCACAGACCTACAAGCACTTCATCAGAAGCTGCAGCGTGAGCCCAGGCTTCACAATGACCGTGGGATCCACACGAGACGTGAACGTGATCTCTGGCTTGCCTGCAGCAACAAGCACGGAGAGGCTTGATATATTGGACGATGAACGGCAGGTCACGGGGTTTAGTATTATTGGAGGAGAACATAGGTTGAGGAACTACAGGTCGGTAACGACAGTGCATGGGTTCGAACGTGAAGGGAAGATCTGGACCGTTGTTTTGGAATCATATATCGTTGATGTACCAGACGGGAATACCGAGGAAGACACACGGCTGTTTGCTGACACTGTTGTCAGGCTGAATCTCCAAAAACTTGCGTCTGTTGCTGAAGTCTTGGCTCGCGACGGTGACGGTACATAATAACCTAAAAAGAAAAAAAAAAAAAAAAAAACCCAAAGAGCACTCAACAAAAGAAAGTCCCTTTTTTTTTTTCCTTAATTTTTTGAAGCTTTGTGAGTACGTTTTTTCCTTCTTTATTTTCTCTTTCTTATTTTGGGCAGTTGGTGTATTTGGGGAAATGAAAATGCCCTTTGTCGGAAGACTATTGATGCCAGTTGAATTTTCCAGTGGAAACGGTACTTCTGTTGTTTTTATATTTGGTAGTAGAAGAAGGTAAGGGCATTAGAGTGGATGCACGTGTACAGAGATATTGAGTTTTGGGAACATCAATGTCTATTAAAATTTGTGAAAATTAAGAAATTTGTGGTTTGTTGATCTGTTTGTCTTTCTTTCTTTCTTTCTGTTGTTTATATTACGTTTTGGTTGTTTGAATTTAGACACCATAAAAAGAATGACAAAAATTATAGATGCATGAAATTAATATAAGAAGGGATCGGTCATTAAATTTGCAGTTAGCTAGATACTTGGATTATATCTGGATTGCTGGGCATAAGTTTAGTAGTAATAATCCTTTGTTGGTACGGTGAATTTGAACAGAGGAAACGGAAAAAAGAGAAGCACACTACTCTACCCCTGACGTGGCGTCACTTTTTTTTTTTTTAACCCTCACGCATCCCTTGTTCAAACTTTCAAACTAATTTTTCGTTAATTTTTCATTGTTACGTCGGACATTACAAGACAGATTAAGAAATTTTCTGTATACAAAAATACTTAAACTTGAAACTACTGATTAAAATCTTTTTTTTTTCTCAGGTCAACTCTCTTAAATTTGGCTTCACTTTGATACTGTATGAATTCATGTTGAGTCTTGGTAGAATCTAATGCTTTGCTTTGGACTTTTTGTTTCCATTTTGAGAATCCGAAGAGGTGTGAAGGTGAGAGCCTTTTTTTTTGTAATCTTTCCAATCGAAAATGATACCTTATTTTTTTTCCTTTTACGATGAGGAATTGAATACCTTAACTAATCAGAAGCAGATAGTATTTCTTACTCCTTTCACTCTCTTTTCTTCTTTTTTGTTTTCTTGAGATAGAATATTTACTCTTTTGTTAGTTGCTTAGTACGAACGGAAACTTAATCTAGAAGTAGAACATGTGCTAGTATGTTCATAGAAGAAATTGGCTTGGATCCATTATCTGGCAACAGCAATTTGGACCTCAGTTCAAGGTAAGAATCTTTAGGGCCTATTGTTTAGTCATAGGGATGGTCCATTCTACCCATACCTACACCAGAAGAGAGAGATTGACTGCCTTTGTGTCAGACTGTCAGGTAGGACCGGAATTTCTAGATGGGAAGAATCAATTATCTATGCATTATTGTATATGTCATATGTGCATATTTAATACTGTACTTACATGCATATAGAGTCATCAGAACTCAGGTAAAGTAGAGTGGAATTTTTAGGAAACCTAGAGAATTTGAAGGACCCAATTCTAGTAGGTTCCCTGCTTCCTCCCACCCCTATTCCATTTTCAGCTATGGGCATAATGCCTATTCTATTTTCTTTTTTCACCGAAGATTAATTGCCTCCTAAATTATCGAGTTCATCATCTAGTAATAACTAAAGGCTCCTGGCATGATGCCATTATGTTTTAGCAGAATCATAGTAATACGAAAATAAATATAAATACAACTGGTTCATGTATGTATAGTAAAATTTAAATCGGTTAAAAAGTCAAAATCAATGAAAAAAAAGTGAATGCTAATGAAAAAATAAGTGAAAGTTATGTTTTGTCTAAAGACAAAATAGTAAAGATGAAAAATTTAACCATTTGTTTAGCACTAATAAATTGATTAAGTACTAATTACTTAATCATTTGGGTGTATGTTGAATATTGAGAGAGTAAATCTTTAATTTAAAGGATTGGATGATACATCAAGAAGGATGAGACTAAGCCTATAAATGAATAAAATCATCCATGTGGATACTCTACCTAAGGACTAGAGATCCTAAAAACTGAATTCAAAAAGAAAAACGAGCATAAAGTGATTTGATTACATGCACAATTTATTTGAGTTACAATACTTATATATCTATCCTTATGGTATAGTGCATGAATCTCATAATGAAAAAAAATGTTAAGTTTCTTTAAATGAAAATTTTAATGTGGTTGATAGTTTTTTTTGAATGGGATGTTAGAGTTATAAGATAACCACAATTATATGAATGAGGAAGTGAGGCCACTTCCTATGAGAATGGAGCTAATTCTCTAGAACCCCCATAAAAGTCGAGGATCAAGCATAAAGCCGTTAATGTATTGGCTCGATACTCATCGCAAAGTACTTAAATATAATATATGTGATACAATATATGTTTCACTTAAAAAGCCTTAATTCAAGACAATGTTCATTATTGATTTGAGAGAAATGTTGTTAAAACACTAAGTAAGAGTTAAAGCCATTCATGCCCTTATTATGTATTATATTCGTTTTCTTACCTAGAAAATACATCGCTAATATTTTATATAAAAAAATAAATGAAGGTTTGTTGGAATATTTTTTTTATTAAATATTAACTATATTAAAAAAATAATAAATGAAAAAATGTTTCAAATAGTTACATTTGAAAGAAAAGACTAACAATCTTTTTCATTAAATTTTGTAACATTTTTCATTGAATTTTTTAATGTTCTTTCATTGAATTTTAATGTTAATTACATTAGCCATTAATTTCATTAAATGAATACATTAAATTCTTCAAACGGCTACTTTAATTGCCTATATATATATATATATAATGTTTGTTCTAGTCAATTAGATAGGCATGCTGTACTTGTCAAGGAAAGGAAAATATGAGGCATTTCGCTTGCTTTGTTTAAAAATAAAATATATAAAAACATTTTTTATTTATTTTATACTCTCACTTGAAAAAGCCATAGAATTTTTAGTTCTATATTTGGATAAGAGTGGTACTAACTTTTTAGAGTTTCGAGTTCTATATTTGGGTAAGACACGACAAGGTGGCTCGACTTGTTGTGTCCCCGAGACGGCATGTAACATTACTTAATCCATTGCATCGGATAAATTCTATGGATGACGCGTATCGTCTCAAGAAAGCAACCTAGTTGTGTCTTGAGTCAATCACCTAAAAATTATAGTAAAACCATTTTGATGGTTCAATTATCTTTATACCATGATAACGTGATTTTAATCTCGATTTTTTTTATGATCAAGGTAAAATGTTTCAATTCTTTTGTCCATCTTAATTTATGATCAATTTATTTATTTATTGTCTTAATTTTTATTATTTAATTATGTTCTTTTTGTGTGCTAAGAATCATAATCTAAGTCGATACCATGTCGTAATTTAATTATTCAAATCGTGAAAATAATTCGGTATGAAAATTTTAATATTATGTTTTTACAATGTCAATGCCATTACTTGAATATAGTGGTTTTTTTTTATTGATGTTTTTAATTAAGCATAAAGTAAGTACTTGAATATAGTGGTTTTTTTTATTGATGTTTTTAATTAAGCATAAAGTAAGTACTCGAACAAAATTTTTATCTTGCTAACATATTATTTGGTTGTGTTGATCTTGAAAAAATTATCACTACCATGTTGCTAAGGAGATAATTTGCATATTGATTCGTAATGTTTTTGTTACTTATGGTTACCTATCAAATATTATTATTCAAGATCAATAATATTGATAGTGTTGAAAATTAATATTTGTGACATTGACCAATTTATTTATGTGAATTTTATTATTGATACAAAGTTAAATAATTTGAGGAATGATTTATATTGTTCGGTGATAATTGGCATTAAAAGTATTTGTTGTGTTGTGATGTCAAGTGACCGAGATAAATGAGAAGCCACCAAAGGAAATACATCCAATAGTTTTATATGGATATGTTGATCATAATGGATGCAAAGCCAAGAAAATCAAATTTAAGTGGCATTGGAGGCAATGGAAGCTTGGTCAATAAAAAGTATTTCAAGTCTCCAATGGTACTTACTATACAATAAGTACAAAAGGTCAAGTATTTTAATTGTCATATTATTAAAGCTCATCGATTTTTACTTTATATGTTTGAAATTTATTTTTGATGATGAAAGTATGAGATATTTATATTTACAAGTAATTTTAGACTCTTGTATAAATATTATTGGTCTATACTTGAGTTATTTAATCTATAAGTCATGATTAAAAAATAATACTAAAACAAAGAGAGGGAGAAATGTGAATTATCATATAATTTTATTGTCATTGAATTCATGTTGGTTCACATGATTAATTTATTAAGACTTGAAAGGTCACATATTAATTTAATTAAGATCAATTGTATTTTGAATATTTTTATGTGACTTATGTTGAAATTGTTTGACACCCTTACCTCATTATGGCAATATAAACAACTATGAAAATAATAATCTTGTAAGGAGGTTATTAGTAAAATAAAGGTTCATGATTTATTTTTTCACATATTATTTTCTTCGTGAAAGTAAAATTTGATATATTATCTTATTTTAAAGAACTATATCCTATTGACTTGTAGGCCACAAGAAATAAATTGTGAATATTGATGATGAAATAATAGAATATTTCATGTCATCACTTTGTCCACAATGGTAGCAAGAAATCATTTATTATGTGAATAGCGAGAGCATATATATATATATTTCACTAAAAATATATGTTATGTCAATAGTTGAGACATACATAAAAATATTATTACATCAAGTATTTGATGGAGAAAATAATAATTTGTATTTAAATGTACACTATCATAATTTTTCTCATGATTTTTGAATTTTTATCACGTGTAAATTTTTAATATAATACTATTGGAAATATTTATAAAAGCATTCCTATTATATAAAAGGTATAATAATGCTTTTAAAATGTTTGGTAAAAGCATTGCTATTATACAAAAGGTACAATGATGCTTATGGAATATTTGGCCAAAATATTGAGAGAATCAATGAAATTAGTGACATTCCTTTTGTACAATTAAG